TCACTGAATCCAAATTGCTACGAACCTATGCACTCAAAGTGTATGCTTCGCTCGTAGCTATTCGGATTCATTGATAGCATCTTCGTAGATTTTACGAAAATTCGGACTACGACGGATTCAGTGATAGCCCTGGTTATAGAAAATCAATCCTTGCATATAAAATATAAAAGCAAACTGCTATGAATTGCTGAGCGAATTTATAGAACAAATGATAAATTCAAATTTGCGATGATTCTCTAACATTAGAAATTTATTTGCATTCAAAATATATGTTTATTTTATAAAAGTTGAAAGTACATGCACACACTACATCAATACAATAATACAAAAAAAACACACTAATTATTACGTCTTTAAGTGACGGGGCAAAGAATTTTTTTCTTACTTTTTAAATACACATCTTCAAACATAATACTGTTAGATTTTATTCTTAGTTTATAAACGTTTGTGCCTAGGACTAATATTAAGAACATAGTATGGATGGTGTAAAATAATATCGACGCTAGCTTTTGAGATTGTAATTTGTTAATGGCAAGATAATTACATGAAAACATTTAAGTCATTGAACCGTAAATGCGGTTAGGTTATTGCTATATCTTATATGGAAATGAGTTCTGTGGGTAAATACATACATATGGGCATAATAATACTCTCCTAATGTTCATAATGTTTAAGTACATTGCATTATATATGCACAAATATTGTATATACAAAGTTACATAGATTTGCATTGCCATTCTGCGCCAAATTTCAGTCTATTTAAAACGCTGATAACAGCTTCCTAAAAGTATTTTGAACTTCCTCTTAATCAAATGCTACTTTTCTACTAAATGAAGTGAGGGAAGAAATCTCACTTGGGTTAGAATCGGAAGGTAAGTGACTAAATTCAATTTCTTCACTTGCGGCTGCAGCAACAATATTTTCATTGGACCTTGTCGTTTCATCCGAGTTATTAGAAGGCCATTGTTTGTGACTTGGGGCATAGAGTACAAGCAGTGCAAATATGTAAATGTTCCACATTCCGTAGACACCGGTTAAGAAAGCCGATGTTAATTGTATTTCCATATCTTCGTCCCATTTCCATTGACCCTCAGCAACTTGACCTATGATAAAGCCGGCAACTGTTAGTCCAGCACATAGCAGGGTTGCTAGCATCAGAAATTTAAATCTAAATATAAGACCTAAAATGAAAAATTCACGATATTTAGTTTCGGTATAAAGAAAGCTAAATTTGTTAACGTTGAGTCTTGCTTACCTTCATAGTGTAGTCGGCGTGCAGTTGACATAGAAGGCAATGAAGTACGTTTGGCGCCAATATTCCTGAAAACTTTCCAAACCATGTAGCAAAGAAAGAGGAAATAAATACCCGCGGAAATCGCAGCCAAAATTATGAAGCCCATTGCCACTCTAGCACCAATAGGTGTGGTCCAAATGGAATAGAAAGGGTTACGCATCTGAACCCCGCGCTCACAGATATCAAAAGTAAAAAGCGATAAGCATCCTACTACAACAGCAGACAAATGCTTCCAGTAGCGAGATCGAATTGTTGACTTATATGGCGATTCCTGAATTAACATATGCTCCCCGGCAAATACCAACCAGAAAGACAGCAACATTGCATAGAAGACTCCCTGACGAATGTCGCTCAATAGTAACAAATACGGCATTTCTATGAACAAAGAAAGATATTCTATTGGGAAGTTGAGAAATGTTAGCGCACCACCAAGATAAATAAGCATATATTCGAGTAGGGCAGGCGACCGTTGTAGGATATGTACACGACGCCAAAACCAAATCATTATGGCCACGACGAATGGGAAGAGTACTGTTTTGAGTGACAACCACACTTTTGTGAAACCGCCATTCTGATGTATTACTGTTAAAGTTAGATCGTGCATATGCCCAAAATCAAGATTCATTTTCATGTCCGTATCAATTGGAAAACGCAAATTCAGCAAATAGTAATCGTGATGAAGATCACCCAATTCAAATAGTGGCACCATGTCACAAGAAAATAACGATTCCTCTTGGCTCGCTGTTTTAATACCACAATCGAGATAACGTTTTTCCAAAGAATGTGCATACAATTTCCAATCACGTTTCTTGTCACCTTTATTTCTGCAAAAATTGGATTTTCAGTATATTTTACACCCATATATTGTATGCACGACCAACCTGTAAGCCAAACGAGCATCAATAGTTAATTGTAGATCCTTAGGAGGTTCGACCAGTGATACCTGCGGTTCGTATGCAATATCCACTTGCAATACGCCAATCAAATTTTGTTGCCATCGTGAATAATCTAATTCTTCGCCGCGCGGTAAGGGCATTTGGAATATATATACTATCTCATTGGCCATTTTCGTGTAGTGCTGCTCGATATCTTCCTGGGAGACAGCCGGACATTTTCCATCGCCGCGTAAATGCAGCCAAAAAGTCGTATCATTCTGCCGTCCGGGCGTATCTTTACATACCATGCCTAAAATGACTTGGTGGCCGGCTGGCAACGGCGCCAGTAGACCACCCAAAAGAAAGCAGGCTACTTGGCTTAACAATAAGAGGGTAACTAATACGGATAATTTCCGCCCACTGAGATTCTCTAGAATGGTGCCCGTCATTTTAAGTCACCTCACCTATCTTTGGAATGCTATGAATTTAATAGATATTAAAAATATAAAATTTGTTGCACACGAAAAAGTAAAATAAAACGTTGCCGCTATCAATAGCGACTGTGCCAGAAGTTAATGGTAATGCCATATTATTAAATTCGCGATGTCAAATGTAAGCAAGCCATAATTCATCGCCCATTATGGATTATGTCATGCAAAGAACGTAAATGTACATTTACGTTCTTTGAATGCGCTCAAAAAACGGACTTTTTTCACTCTCTTGTTCTTGCGTGATCTTGTGTCGTTCGTTCATGGGATTATGTCATTCAACTTGCTACATCGCGGTGGAAATAATCTCTACTCATCGCGATGACATCGTGCTAGGACAAAATCCGGCTCTTAAAACCCAAAAATTACAATTTTTTCAACGTTTTCTCGGCAAAAGTCCTTTGTTTTTCGTCACAATATATGCGATATGTCGTGAGAGCTTTCTATAAATGTCATGATATATATTTGATAGAACACTTTACAGAGACATCTGTTAGTGACTAGCTACAATTGAGATTTAGTCAATTGTGACAGCTGGCTGACCATGCAAACTATCGATAGTGGACACCTTCGATAATTGGCATTGGTTTTTGGGCAATGATGGGCCAGCACTATCGATAGTCGTGATAGTTTGCCGCATACTACGATAAAGCTGAAGGTACACAATTTTATTTGCTGCGGCATTGCGTTGATTTGTTTGTGCGTTGACGACGTTGAAAAGTTTGCCGTTACAAACCTCACGTTGTGCCGCTCATTATATTGTAAACAACAACAGCTGTTTGGCATATCCACATATGTAATTTCAAATGTCGACACATGAACGCAATAGAAAAGTAGCGAGTTCGTTTACGTTCGATGGCAACTGTGTTAGCGTATTTGGAGAGGCGTCGGCTGTAACAGCTGTCATACAAATACACGTATTAAATTTTATTTGACATTAATGGCGTAATGCATTTGCCTCAGAACGCATGCTGTGTACCTTCGATTTAATAAGAAAATTTGTATCTTTTGGGGTTACATTACACAATCAGAAGAAAGTCGTATTTAAATTTCAAATAAAATCAATACTCAAACGATAGATTTCACTTCAAATTTTTTTTATACATTTTTATTTATTTTTAATCCTTTTGCTTTTTGCGTATAAGTCGATAGTATCTATATTCATGTACTATACACATGATACTGCTATCGATAGTTTGCCTTCACTACCGTGCACATCGACGTGTCAAAAAGTAAAAGTCTGGGTTTTATGTACTTTGTTCTGCTTTTATTTAGAAAAGAATAAGTATTTATAAATAATTGTGAAAACTAAAAATTGCAAGGGAACACGGGCTAGTACGGCAAAAATATGGTTTTGGCAGATTTAGGACGGAAGATCACCTCAGCGATCCAATCGCTGAGTAAGGCGACAGTAATCAATGAGGAGGCTCTCAACTCAATGCTGAAAGAAATATGCGCAGCCTTGCTTGAGGCTGATGTGAATATTCGTCTGGTGAAGCAATTACGCGAGAATGTGAGAGCTGTTATTGATTTCGACGAGATGGCAGGTGGATTGAATAAGCGACGTATGATACAGTCTGCCGTTTTTAAGGAATTGATCAAATTGGTCGATCCAGGTGTAAAGCCATATCAACCTGTGAAGGGGCGTGCCAATGTTATAATGTTCGTCGGCCTACAAGGTTCCGGCAAGACAACAACGTGTACCAAGCTAGCCTATCACTACCAAAAACGCAACTGGAAATCTTGTCTTGTGTGCGCCGATACTTTTCGAGCTGGTGCTTATGATCAAATTAAGCAGAATGCCACAAAAGCGCGTATTCCATTCTACGGCAGTTACACTGAAATCGATCCTGTCGTTATAGCGCAGGAAGGTGTTGAAATGTTTAAACGAGAAGGCTTTGAAATCATCATCGTCGATACTTCGGGTCGTCACAAACAAGAGGAGTCTTTGTTCGAAGAGATGTTGGCTGTTTCTAGAGCCGTCTCTCCAGATAACATAATATTCGTGATGGATGCCACTATTGGACAGGCTTGTGAAGCTCAAGCGAAAGCTTTCAAGGACAAGGTCAACATTGGTTCAGTTATAATTACCAAGCTGGACGGTCATGCAAAGGGTGGCGGTGCACTTTCGGCTGTTGCATCAACTAACTCGCCAATTATTTTCATTGGTACTGGAGAACATATCGATGACTTGGAACCATTTAAAACTAAACCATTTATAAGTAAACTTCTTGGAATGGGCGATATCGAGGGATTGATTGACAAGGTGAATACTTTCACAATACATATATGTATATATCTTTCTGATAACCTCATATTTTTATTAAGGTCAATGAACTTAAACTGGACGGCAACGAAGAGCTTCTTGAAAAGATCAAACACGGTCAATTCACAATACGCGATATGTACGAACAGTTTCAGAATATCATGAAAATGGGACCTTTTTCACAAATAATGGGAATGATTCCGGGATTTTCACAAGACTTTATGACCAAAGGTGGTGAACAAGAATCAATGGCACGGATAAAACGTATGATGACTATGATGGATAGTATGTCTGATGGAGAGCTAGATAATCGCGACGGCGTAAAATTATTTACAAAACAACCGACACGATACGTTCGTGTTGCACAGGGTGCTGGTGTGCTCGAGAAGGAAGTTCGCGATCTAATATCTCATTATACGAAATTTGCCGCAGTGGTGAAAAAAATGGGTGGAGTTAAGGGCCTCTTCAAGCAAGGTGACATGACGAAAAACGTAAATCCCACGCAAATGGCAAAATTAAATCAACAAATGGCGAAAATGATTGATCCGCGTATGTTGCAGCAAATGGGAGGAGTTGGTGGACTGCAAAATATGATGAGGCAGCTGCAGCAAGGAGCGGCTGGCGGTCTCGGCGGATTGGGAAATTTAATGGGTGGTTTTGGTGGAAAATGAGAGCGGCAATCAGTGAGAAAATTTTTAGATTCTAGCGAAACTATTTGTTAAGAAAGAGGGTAAGCAAATAAGGTCCGAGCTGATGATGTGGGAAACATAAAATACGTTAAGCACATCTGCTTTTCTTGTTGCTGCGATAGTTTTTCTTGTGTTTTTCTATTGAACATATTTTTTCGATTGTTTATTACGTACATATGTAAATTTTATGTTATTTAAATCGAAGCGATTGAGGACCAAACCTAGCACATAAAGTGGCATAAAATTATGCCCACTCTCAAGATGTGCTCTTTTTGTATTGATGCCAATAAATTATTAAGAACCACAAAAAAACGTGTTTGAGCAAAAAGGAAGTACGCAAATCAAGCTTATTGATTGCCTTATATTCAGTCCTCATCGGAAAAAAAATCTTTAACATACATATACCCTAGGTTAAGTTGTATTGCAGATTCTTCGAATCATAGAGGTTGCATGATTAATAAAAAAATAAACGAGACGAAATATATAGTTACATACATATATACATACGTCGTTTTTCTTAAAACCGACGATAGACTCGTGTTCGGAGACTTTAAATGGAGACTCGATTTTTGTTGTGTACAGGTTACTTAGCCTGCCTGTATCTGTTAATCTTTGAATCGATGTTTTTTTTTAAGCAATACTTTCCACCCGCGACCCGGTTGCAGACCACTGCCACCACCAGGTTCGCAAGGTAGTCACTGCCACAGCGGCTTGCTTCATTCCATCCGGACGCATCGCGGAAGTCCACCAAACTTTCTGGCAGAAGCGGCTGTTCTCGCAAGTAACTCGTGGCCTTAACCGTAACCAACCCGGCGATAGAACAGCCTTAGTGGCGTTGGACGTGTCAAAGTTGTTTGACACCGTCTGTCATTCCACACTTCTAGAAGATATCGAGGCTTCTCTCCACAGAACGGTGTCGTCTTTCCCTTACTGTTTATCTTCTTCATCTTGAAGCTTCCTATGTCACCGGAGGGAATCGCCCTGATCTCATATGCTGACAACTGTTTGATATTGGCGTCCGGGAATAAAATTGATGACGTCTGCAAGAAAGTAAGTGGCTCTCTGGACCTTCTCGCTTCTTCACTGCACGGAGCCTAACCATCTTCACGACAAAATCAACGCCGACCCTCTTCACCAATTGGATGAAGCTGCAGACCTGCCAAAACACGGCATTACGTACCGCGACAGGATGCCTCCTGATGACGCCTCTACATCACCTTCATGACGAGGCCCAGATGCTCTCGCCACGGCACGTCAGGAGGCATCTCTACGAACTGACAGACGAAGTCCAGAAGTATATTAAACAACCTCTGGACCCGACAACCTACCGACAGGCCCTCAACGGCATTCACAGGGAATCAGTCTCAAGTTATGTAGACTCCCGCCCTGTGAATGCCGTTCTAGGCGCACAACCACCGGACGTGGACGGGACAGAACTTTGTCTGCCTCGGGAGACCCGCACAACAATAGCCCAATTTCGCTCTGGCTATTGCAGCAGGCTCAACAGCTACCTGAGCAGAATCAACGAGGATGTGCCCAACCAATGCCCGGCATGTGGAGAGTCGCCACATGACTCCCGGCACCTCTTCACATGCCCTGAGAATCCCACTCAGCTAACGCCCCTGTCCCTATGGATAGCTCCTGTGGAAGTCGCACACTTCCTAGGCCTTCCCTTAGCTGAAATAGACGACAACGATGATGGATGAACCGTCCCGAACGGGGCTTAGTAGCCGCTACAACAACAACAACAACAACAACAACAACCACTTGGACGAAGGAGGTCAGGCTTAAACTAGGTATTCACATCGATGGCACACGAATTCCGATGGTGAATAACCCGAAAATTTAAAGGGTCACCCTTGACAGGCTGTTTTCCTTCTCCGCGCACACAACTGCAATTGTCAGTAAAGTACAGATCCGCAACAAGGTCCTCAAGTCGCTCGCCGGCAACACTTGGGGCAAGGACAAAGAAACGTTGCTGGAAAAATACAATACAATTGACCAGCCAGTTCTCAATTACGCTGCGTAGTGGACGAAGATGCAAACTTGTCAGAACACCGCACTCCGGACATCGACAGAATGCCTTGTGTGCGAGGCACAAATGCTTCTGGTAGGGAAGCATAACAAAATGCTCAGCAAGCAATTTCTGGTGGGATGCCAATGGCGTGAGCACCCCAACAGACCCTTGCTTGAGGAAGAACCTCGGCTCAGGCACGTCTGAAGGCATCTTCCCGAGTGCATGTACGCGGTCCAGACCACCGGTTAACCACTGGACCCGACGACATACTGACGAACGATCAACGGCATTAATAGAGAGGAGGCTACCACCTACCCCGCTTGTCGACTTATGAATGCCATGATCGACATCCGAAATGATTGCCCCGCATGTGAAGCCCCCCATTACACCAACCACCTCTTCACATGGCAGCTCAATCCCACTCAGCTAACATCACTATCCCTTTAGTTTGACCCCGTCGAAACAGCTCCGACTGGATAGCGCAGATTGAAGCCCAGCCGCCAAGACAGCGCGACTGAGTGAATCGGAATCTCGGCCTTTTCTACCACCCCGGAAACAATAAAAATATAAGACAATTCCACAATACTAGCGCGGATCGGAAACTAGGCCCTTCCAACCGACCAATTGTATAATTATAATGATATGAAATAACTTTAATGATACAAAATGTTATTTGATAAACTTTTTTTCTGTAGATCATATTTAAACTTAAATTTAAGTTGTAAGTATTACAAACTGTACAAAAAATTAATAAAATAAAAAAGTGGGCTTTCTGTTGCGTTAATATGCCCTTGTTTTCGTTTTCCGCCAATGGGTGCCGAGTCGCAGGAACTTTTCGCCGGAGTATCATCATCCATACGCATTCTTAAAGTATATTAGACATCCCTAATATCTGATGACCTTGTTGCAGCTATGACAGGCCCACGCCTCTGTGAAGCAAATAATGTGCGCCCAGCAGCATAAGTAAAACCCAACGCCGAAAAACTTCGATTACACCAAATTGTCAACATCTTCGACATTCGACTCTCATACTTGCTTTCTACCACCAATACCACCTGCTTCGCCAGGAAGGTCTCAGACGCAAACGCTTTAGCCCTGAAAGTACTCAACACGGATCCTGTTGGTGGTAGCAGAGCAAGAGGATGGCCTCTTCTACGATGGGAAAGTCGGCTGAAGAAGGACTTGGCTTCACTTGGCATTTCCGATTGGCGTCGCTTAGACGTTTACTTCTTGAAGTTCGGGTGTTTGCAGCTGCGCCAGAACCTCTTCAAATGAAATTCGACCAATTTTTATGGGGGTTGTTTAGAATTGATCCGAAATTGAAGCCAAGCGTTTAGGCGACAAGTTGTGACCTAACCAAGGAAAAGAAGAGAATTTGCCGCCTGGCTATCTGAGCAAATGCTCACCTGCGTTCGCGTGGGTGCATAGTGTTTTAAGTAGCTTACTGCCTCTTTAATTTCAAACGCTTCCGCCTGAAAAACGCTTGCTTAGCAGCGTTGCCATTTTAGCCGTTTTCCGGCTAGATTTAGCCGGTTTTGATAGCAACTAGCCGGAGAAAATTCGATCTAGCCGGCAGCCGATTTGTTAGCCGGTTTGTAAAAAAAAGTTAGCCGTTTTTAGCCGATTTTACTATTTGCCTAATTTTCAGGTGCAAAAAGTAAACAAGTTGTTCGAAAGCAATAATGCAGACCCAATGAAGATTTTTAATGAACTCAATGTTTTACTTTCGCATCTATGCTCCCTAGTGGTTATTAGCGCGGACACATTTGATCCTATATGCTCCCCGTTGGAACCATACCTTGCTCCATTTCCTCAGTTTTATCACAGTTTTGAAGAGTATTTAAAAACAAAAGTAAGCACAAACGCTTTTGACCACGAAGCCGAGAAAATAATTCGAGAAAATGGTCGCTATTTTATTATCACTTTAATAAAGGAATTACGCCAACGCCTCCCTACAAATATTGCCACACTAAAAAAAATTGATTTTTTTCGGTTGGAAATGCATTAAGAGTAATTAAACCAAAAGTATTTGTTCAACTACAGCAACAAAAACACAAATATAATGCCGACGAAATAACATCCATAGAGATGCAATGGCAACGGTTAACGTTACATACCTGGAGTAATTTAGACTCAACTGTAAAATTTTGGGCCGAAGTTTATCAATTTCGAAATGCCCTAGGAGAAAACCCTTTTGCTGACCTTTGCAACCTAGTTTTTAGTTTTCTTGTTTTGCCTATAAGTAATGCAGAAGTAGAGCGAATATTTAGTTCAATGAATATAATAAAAACTAAGCAAAGAAATCCAATGTGCGTTAAAACGTTAAACGCTATTTTATATATAAGATACGGTTTAAAACGTGAAGAAAAATGCTGCCATAATTTTACTGTAGATGACGATCTCTTAAAATTAATGAATTCAGGTGATATATACAATAGTGATTCATTTGATGATGAGGAATATACACTCGATATAAATGAATGGTGTTAACTAGTCTTTCGTTTCTTGCGATTTATTTAAATGAAGCATGTGAATTTTCACTAAAACATTTTAGCCGTTTTTTGCCAGAGTCTATGTGAAATTTCACTAAAACATTTTAGCCGTTTTTAGCCGCTTTTTTTTGCCAATCTAGCCGGTCGGCCCAAAAAGTTCTGGCAACACTGTTGCTTAGTCTGAAAATTAAGGGGATATATTCAAATTGAGTTATGAAATGAATATTCATATTCAATCCAAGAAGTGATTCCCCGACCGAATCCAGTCTTTGCGACGTGGGGATTTCATGCGGTGCTTGTGATTGATTCAGGGCTTTAGTGTGGTATAGTCGGTGGGAAATGTTTTTAAATATATCAGAAGCCTAAATAGTCTCCAGGTTGGTCTTAAGCACGGATGCCAACTGTATTTAGGCTAATTCCTCCAAATTCCTTGAAAAATTTCCCCTATTTTCAATGGTATTCCCCCAAAATAACTTCTACTATTTAAGGCACTTCATTCTCATTTTTATTAGAAAAACAACAAATATCATAAATTATAATGGCTTAATAAGGATAGCATTTTTAAATAATATATATAACTAATACTTCGAACATACTTTGTATGGAAAAAAAATGGGGAACACCGTCAACAAAAAAAAGTAGCAAAAAATCAACGGTAATTTGTACTTTATTAAGCTGATTAAGAAGTTAGAAATTTTGGTCAAACTTTGCATTTTCATAATTTTTGCACAAAGTCTGAAAAAATATTTATATTGCGTTTGTTAAGTAAACAGCTACATTTTCATAAATAAATAATAAACATTGAATAAATTAAAGAAACTTGCTAAAATATCGCTACATAGATGGATTCTTCCTTAGAATCGTATATTTCTTCCTAGCAAAAACTGTCTCTAACGTTAGAGAAAATTGGATTTCTACATTGATAACTATGGTGATTCTCTAATCGTTCTCGAGTCGATGACGAAGTTAGAGAACTACATTAGAATTCGAT